CGGTTGGCGTAAAGTTTGTTTTGCCGGAGTCGGTCAATCACGGTTTTCAAGTGTTGTCTGTGTGTCTTCTCATCCGGGGAAAACACCAGAATGTCATCCAAGTAGACGACCACGCAGATGTCCAGGAGGTCACGGAAATGTCATTCATTAGCGTTTGAAAGGTCGCTGGGGCATTGGTAAGTCCAAATGGCATCACCTTAAATCGTAGTGTCCATAGCGTGTGCGGAATGCCGTTTTGTAGCAGTCCTCTGCAGCGATCCTGATTTGGTGATAACCCGACTTCAGATCCAACTTGCTGAAGACGCGTGCGTTGTAAATTCTGTCCAGCAGTTCGTCAATGAGGGGCAGCGCGTATCGGTTCTTGACCGTTTGTTCGTTGAGTGCTCTGTAGTCGATGCACATGCGTAATGTTCCGTCCTTTTCTTTACGAAGAGTACTGGGGCGCCATAAGGTGATGTCGAGGGCGTAATCTTCCCGCTCTCACTGAGGTCGGTCAGTTGTCGGCGGAGTTCCTCTAGCTCCGGTTGGGAAAGGCGGTAGATGTTGCGGTGGACTGGTTGTGCGCCTGGGACGAGGGGAATGCAGTGGTCGACCGTGCGTTTAGGCGGGAGTCCAGAGGGTAATTGATCAACGAAAACATCCTCGAATTCCCTTAGGATTTTCTTCGCATCGGGGGCGTAGTTGTCCGGTGTGTCTGTTGCTGTTACCTCTGGGTCAGTTCATCGTTCATGTTGAGCGCCATCGCTGCGCAAAGGTGAATTCCTGGGAGTCCGTGTCATTGAGGTCCCTTTGCATTGTTTCCGTGAGACTACGTCGAGCATGAACGAGCTGACTGGGGCGGCTTTCCTGGGCCGGCTGAATGGCACAAAGAGACGGTCTTGGACGGTGACGCCGTCGTTCTTGTCATCAAGTTTGACGCCGAACTCGCGCCAAACGGGATTCCTAAGATGATTCCGAGGCGGTCGAGATTGGGAAGGACAAAGAAGGTCTTCTTGATTGTCAGTGTTGCAATTTTCACCGGTACCTCTAATGTCTGTTCCGTGATTTGAACGGTGTCCTTAGTGTTTGACGCCAATAGCACCTTCCGAATGGGGATAGGTCGCGTTGGGAGTTGCAGCTTGCGAACCATGTTGTCAGAAATAATATATGTGGAGCAGCCTGTGTCCAACAATGCATGACAAGTTTGCCCCGAGATTGTACACTCCACGATTGGGGTGGTCTCCTGGTTGGGACTTTCCGTCCACAACCTTCCGCTGAACAATGGTTGTACTTCTGTTTGTACCGTGGCTTTCTCCGTATTGGTCAGGCTCGTCGGATGCTCACCGCTCATTGCAATGTACTGGGAAGACTTCATTTCATTGCTATGGACTTCCTGGAGACGGCTGGGGGTGCTGGTGGTGCTGTTGTCGCTTGCTTGCTCCACGTCCGCGGCTCTTACCGTGGCAGTTGTTTCCGCGCGGGGTTTGTTAAACTTGGGGCAGAAGCGGGCCAGGTGGCCTAGTTGGCGGCAGCGAAAGCATCTGCCCTCCTCGTACATTCGGCGGCGTTCATCGGGGGTCAATGGTTTCAAGCGGACGGCGTCCACCTGCATCGGGTCTCCATAGCTCTGTGTTTCGCGCCCAACAAATCCGGTTGCTGGGTAGAGGGCAGTGGGAGTGGGTTCTCCGTCCAAGTATTCGGCTATTTGGATAGCCTCTTGGAGCTTCGTGGGGCGGCGGAGGTGGAGTTCGCGGCGGATGCTGGGTTTTGTCCGCGCATGAACTGGTCCATTAGCTGCTCTGCGGATAGATCAAGCAACAGTTGTAGGCGCCGGAGCTCCAAAACAAAGGCGTTTACACTCGTCGTCTGTTTGCAGTCGTGGAATTCGTCACGGAGACGGCGAGTGGAGTCGATCGGGGTGAAGAAGCTCTTCAAGTCTTCCTTGAGAGTTTCCCACGAGAGTTGTCCAAGAGCGGCTGAGTCCGCAAGGTCCGGGGTCGTTCTGTACCAGAGGAGCGCGCTGTCAGTGAAGAACGTGCTGGCGACGATGGCTTGTTCGTTGGCGGGAACACGGGCGACGAGGAGATATTGGTCCATGGAGAAGATCCAGTTGTCTAGTTCGATGATCCCAGCATTCCGTTGAAGGTCTGGGGTTTGGTGATCCATGGCTTTGTGTTACTGAGTCCTGAGTTCGACATTGTGACTGAGGGTTCTTTGGAAAAATTTTCACTGTGGGTCTTTTTGTGGCGAATTGTTGTAAGCCTCGCAACCAAGTGTAAGAGAGTGGAACTTGGTTTTCTGGGGAAAAAAGATTGATTTTCTGTTGCTAATTTCCTATGGTTTTTATACTAATAAAATGTTGTAATCTAATCCATCGATGATGAATCTTTGCCCAATCGGCTGTGGGTTCTGTAAGTGACTGCCTTGTGTGGCAAGAGTCGGAGATGTAGTAAGAGATTGGTATCGGATAAGCCGCAAGACACTGATACAATCAACGGACCTTATCCTGAGCGCAACTCTCTCCTTCACGGACGACTCAGACACGGAAGAAACCACCACGGAACCCGACGAAACAAGCCAACGGATCACAAACAAGTTCCCGGATGTCTTTGTCCCCTCAGGACTCCCACCCAAACGCTCGGTCGACCATCGGATCCCCCCTTGTCCCAGGAGCACAGCCGGTGCATCGGAACATTTACAGACTGTCGCAGCCGGAACTACAAGAATTACGGAAACAACTGGAAGAACTCAGCCAAGACGGTAAGATTGCACCATCTACGTCACCTTACGGAGCACCGGTACTATTTGCAAAGAAAAGGACGGATCATTGCGCATGTGCATCGATTACCGCGCACTCAACGATCAGACGATAAAGAACCGATACGCGCTGCCCCTCATCGATGAACTCTTGGATAGGAGCTACAATGCACGCGTCTTCAGCAAGCTGGATCTGAAGTCGGGATACCATCAGATCAGAGTTGCAGCAGAGGACTGCTATAAACAGCATTCCGCACCCGCTATGGCCACTATGAATTTAAAGTGATGCCCTTTGGACTTACGAATGCCCCAGCGACCTTTCAAACACTAATGAACGACATCTTCCGTGACCTCCTGGACACTTGCGTTGTACAATGAGCAAGACACTGATACAATCAACGGACCAGACACACAAGCAACACTTAGAAACCGTGATTGACCGACTTCGAAAAAATAAACTCTACGCCAACCGAAAGAAATGCAGTTTCTTCCAAAAGGAATCGACTACCTCGGATACGTTGTGGGCGGCGGAATTATCAAGACAAACCCAAAACTCGTGGACACGGTCAAACACTTCCACCCCCCGAAGACCGTTAAAGACCTACAGTCCTTCCTCGGACTGGCTAATTTCTACAAGAAAGTTGTCAAGAACTTCTCAGACATTGCAGCCCCGCTATCGGAACACAGGAGATGCAGACCGCCTTTGTAGACTCAAACAGGATCTCTGCTCTGCACCGTGCCTCAAGGTGCCAACCCTCACGGCAACTTCGAAGTCAACACCGACGCCAGCGAGGACGCCAAGGCTGTGGGCGCAGTACTCACACAAGACGGACACCCATGCGCGTTCGAGTCAGCGAAGCTCAACGTGCATGAACTCAACTACCCTGTGCACGACAAGGAACCACTCGGCCATGGACCACGGCCTTACACTGGACTAAGGCATGGTCCATGACATTCACGGTCTACACGGACCACCGCTCACTACAACACCTCCACACCCAGAAGAAACGACCGACAGAGACGCTGGATTGACTTTCTCGCTGACTTTGACATGGAGATCGTTTACAAGGAAGGAAAGAAAACGTGGTAGCCGACGCTCTCTCTCGCGTACAACTAAACGCAATCTCGCCCATCCAAGACGAGGAGACCTGGACAACATCCGAGGAGCGTACGACGCCGAAGATACTAAGGACCTCAAAGACATCATTGACAATCTGCGAGCAGGAAACGAGACCCGCACAACTCACCAATAGTCAAATACAAATGGGAAAACAGACTACTATTCTTGTAAACTCGGAAAGCGACTGGAAACTTTGCGTCAAGTGATGGTTATTTGGGAGCTAACACTCCACGATCACCACGACTCACCAATCGCGGGACACTCCGGAGCCAATAGGACCTATGCAAAACTAGCGCGCTCCTTCTACCGGCCACGGATGACGAGGACGTTGAGGACTGGACCAGAAATGCCCAACGTGCCAGGTTCCAAGTCCTCAAGCCAAAGGCCTCCTCAAGGACTCCTTCAGCCAATGGAAATCCCATTACTCCCTGGCAATCCATCGCTATGGACTTTACCGGACACTGTCGACTTCAAGCAAGAATGGAAACGATTCCTATTGGTCATAACAGACAGACTGCAAAGATGGTACACCCGATCCCGTGCAAGGAGACCGTGACGGCACAACAGGTCGCCGACTTGTGTTTGAGAACATCTTCAGACTTCACGGAAGACCACAGTCCATTCTCTCGGACAGAGACCCGCGCTGCTGCTCACGGTTCTGGCAGGCACTTCAACCGTTAGGAACGAAGTTGCTCATGTCCACACAAACCATCCCCAAAGGCGGACAGTCGGAACGCGCCATTCGGACAATCGAGACCATGCTCAGGAACTGACTCTGGATCACGCGGAACAATGGTAGTCGGCGTTGCCCGCGACAGATATGCTCACAACGACACACCACACTCGTCCATAGGGGTTCCCCCTTCAAAGCAAACTACGGATTCAGACCAACAGGACTACTGCGATGTAACGAGCCAGGTTCCAGTTCCACTCTCTTACACTTACGAGCCAGGTTCCACTCTCTTACACTGCAAGACTCCCGCGATCATTGTGTGCTTGCGACTTGCACTTACAGCAAGACTCCCGCGATCATTGTATTTCAGTAGTGCATAAAGCAGAACGAAAAGGTGCAATATAATGGAGCATACTTCTCAGGAGCATTACTTTCTCAGAATAAGCAAGTTGCGTTCTCTTACAGAGAAGCGGGCCTAACCAGGATTCGAACCAGGGATCACCTCTACCAGGGATCACCTCTAATTCCTCGCAAAGGGAAGGGGGGACTACCCGAAAGAGGTATGTTAACCACTACACTATTAGGCCGACACCTGTGTGGCTGGTGCCCTGTGTGTGACCTGTTTACTTTGCTTCGGCGGCTCATTGCGCATGCGCAGCAAGTGCCAAGTGCTGAGCAGTGAGCCAAGTGCCAAGTGCTGGTCAGTGAGCAGTGAGGTGTGAGGGTGTGAGGTGTGAGGTGTGAGGCGGTCGGTTGTGCGCCGCGGTGTGATTTCGGCGACCGAGTACGGAATATGGAAGGACGGTGGGATGTACACGAGCGGAAATGCCCCTATGGCTTAGTGGTACAGCATCGCACTTGTAATGCGAAGATCCTTGGGGCAGCTGTCGTCTTTGTGCCTGGTGCTCGTTTCGCACTCGCCGCATCTTAGTCGACGCGTAACATGTTTGGGTGGTTGTCAGCGACTAGCACCAAAAGCAACGGTGCTGACAAAGTCCCAGGATCCTTTTCCCAAGCCGTCTTTCTTTTCTTTTTATTTATTTTTTGCTTTATTTTATTTATTTTATTTATTCTATTCTATTCTAATCTAATCTATTCAACTCTATCTATCTTATTTTATTTTACTTTTATTTTATTTTATTTACTTTACTTTACTTTAATTTTTATTTATTTATTTTTATTTTTTATTTTATTCAATGCTTTATGTTATGTTTTATGTTTTATGTTTTATGTTATGTTTTATGCTTTATGTTTTATCTATCTTGATTCTGCTTGATTCTGCTTTCCTTTTCCCCTTTTTTTTACTTTGTCTCCAGACAGCGCTGTCCATAGTATACAGATCAACGGCACCAGCGGAGCCGACGAAAAAGAACCAAGTAAGGCAACGCAAATCCACAATGGGAGGAAACAGAGCACGGCCCGCATTGCATTGCATAATGAACCGTAAAGCAGCTCGTATGCGACTGCTAGTTCCGTGACAGGAAAAAGGCGAAGGCGATGATGGATTGAGGAGTATAAGGGATGTAAGGATAGGGAGAGAGAGAGCACGGCACAGTCACTATGTCCGAGTGGTTAAGGAGTTAGACTCGAATAGGCAAGTATCGTGGCATCTAATGGGCTCTGCCCGCGCAGGTTCAATCCTGCTGGTGACGGGGTGTGCGAGGTAGGAGAGTGGAACTCCGACGGGCTCATACGAACAGAGAAGCGTCGCAACCCGTAGGTCCCAGGATCGAACCTGGCCTCGCAACTTTTGCTTCGTCTGAAGCAGCGGCCGCACATCTGCAAGGCAAGGTAGGAGCGCGGACAAAGTGGAGCGCGGAAAAAGCAAAAGCAAAAGCAAAGGAAAGGAGTAAAGCAAACAAAAAGCAAACAAAGAAAGAGAAAACAGACGGCACAGCGATGCACAGTAAAAACAGAAACGCGCGCTCCGCACACACAAAGGTCGTACTGGGATCGAACCCAGGTCTCGAGAATCAGAATCTCGCGTGCTAACCGTTACACCATACAACCCTCTTCGCCCGTGTCACGGCCCCACCCCATTTCACTTGGTGTCGAAACCTTGCTCACTACTCCAACTCATCCTTCTATAGCTATAGCTACAGCTATAGCTTGAAGAAGCTTTGACTTAGCGAACGTTATACTTTCTTGAATGTATATTGATCGATTCAGTTTATTCTTCGACAGCTATCTAAATGTTACGTCGCGTCTTTTGTACTATTGCGATGCCGGCAACACTTCTCTTCTCTTTCTCATCAAATACTTTCTATTGATGATGCAAGAAGAAGAGCAGCAAATGACTGGCTACGCCCTTGAAAATTAAACCGAACTACCATCCTTTCCTGGTTTCATTTCAAAACAGGCATGGAACCGAGACAACCGGCACCAAAGTGACAATGGACTTCCACGAACGTCAACAACTCCCGCCCCTGGATCATCCGCCCCACCACCTACGCAGGAACCAACGACGTGATCGAATTGGACAACTGGCTCTTCTCAATGGACCAGTACCTCCTTGTTGCTCGCGTCCCAGCCACACCATGTGTTAAATGCGAAATCGAAGGACACCCTTGCCGAGCACTATTGGACACAGGATGCTCGTCGTATATGATCTCCAAAAAGTTGCGCA